TTTTTTCTCCTCCGTTCATCTTCCCTCCTCTCCATTGCAGTCATTATCCCCCTTTTATTCTACTGGCCTCTCCCCTTGAATGCATCCCTAACCACTGCTCTCCTGATCCATATACCCACAGAAAAAAAAATAGATTTTATTGAAATATTGTGTGGCCCCAATACCAGCTAGAAGGTAGAAAAAGACAGCCTTCAACTGACAGCTTTAACTATAACCCTGCCCTTCAGTTAAATCTTGACCGTGACTGTAAAAGGCAAGAAAAATGATCTGAGATCCCATAGGTCCAGGTGTTCATGGCCCCCTCACCAAGACATCTTCAGCTACAACAGAACCAGGAAAACCAAAGAGGTTTCAGAGGTTTGCTCCATTATCATCAAGGCATGGAACATCATGACACACAGGCAGACATGGTGCTGGAGAAAGAAAAAGGGAGGAGGATTGCTGGCAGCAAGCAGAGCCTACTGGAGACAAGACAGTTACCAAGAAGATACACTTGATTCTGTTCTTGTCTCTCTCAAAAAAAAATGGATTATGGATGTTTGTTTTTGTTTAGTGTGTTGGTTACAAGTTGTTATGAATAATGGTCAGGAAAAAAACTAAACAAAGGCGATTAGATTCAGGGTTTTGTTTTGAAAAGACAAAAAGGGGAAATGCAGTGGGATAATGCTGTTGTACACTGTAAAGATTTGTCACTCAGAGCCGGGCGGTGGTGGCGCACGCCTTTAATCCCAGCACTCGGGAGGCAGAGGCAGGAGGATCTCTGTGAGTTCGAGACCAGCCTGGTCTACAAGAGCTAGTTCCAGGAAAGGCTCCAAAACCACAGAGAAATCCTGTCTCGAAAAACAAAAACAAAACAAAAAAAAAAGATTTGTCACTCAGATTGTCAAATGCTGATTGGCCAGTAGCCAGGCAGGAAGTATAGGTGGAGCAGCCAGACTAGGAGAATTCTGGGAAGAGGAAAAGCAGAGAGTCAGTCACCAGCCAAATGCAGAGGAAGCAAGATGAGAAGGCTTTACTGAGATAAGGAACCAAGCCACCTGACTAAACATAAATGAGAATTATGGGTAATTTAATTTGTAAGAGCTCGTTAATAATAAGCCTGAGCTAACAGGGCAAACAGTCTATAATTAATATAAGCCTTTGTGTGTTTCTTTGGAACTGAGCAGCTGCAGAACTGGGCAGGACAGAAACTTCCATTTACAGGGGTTCTTAAGCATCCTCATGCATGCAGCTTGCCCTGTGCCTTGACAGTATCTCCCTCTATAATCTGTACCCCTGCTCTGTTGGTATTGTCTTACTTCATTTGCAAATCAAAGTGAGCTCTTATTTTCAGCAGATAAAAGGCCAAGAACCTGGAAACACCCTGCCTCACTCCAGTTAATGTTAGCAAGACCATGATACAAGCGTGAAATTTAGACATACAAAGACTAAAGGTACCCATTTCCAAGCACCCTTTGTCAGGAATGCACTGAATGCTGTGCTCCCTGGAAATAAAGAACAATACAGAAGATACAGAGTCCAGGGCAGACAGCTCAACCTGGATTCAGGATATAGGGCAATGGCTGCCAGGAAACCTGGAGAGCACAGACTGGATTAGAACCGAAGTCTTCAGGACCAAACAGAGCAGACCAAAATCATGAACAACTGTTGTGCTTAAGAATCTAGATGACTACAGAGAAACCCTGTCTCGAAAAAAACCAAAAAAAAAAAAAAAGAATCTAGATGAATTAGTATTTTACTGGAGAGATATGATAGGCATGGTGGCTCAGACCCATGATCCCAACACTCAGGAGGCTGAGGCAGGAGGGTTGCTGTAAGTTTCAGGCCTGCCTGGGGTGCCGTGTGAAAGTTCATCTTAAAAAATAAAAAAAAAATACAGCCAGATGTTGGTGGTGCACACCTTTAATCCCAGCACTTGGGAGGCAGAGTCAGGAGGATCTCTATGAGTTCGAGGCCAGCCTGAACTACAGAGTGAGTTCTAGGACAGCCAGTGCTGTTATACAGAGAAACGGTGTCTCAAACAAATAAATAAAATAAAAAATAGGGGCTGTGTTGTTGTAGTTTGTTTGTTTGTTTGCTTTTTACTCTTTTAGCTCTTTGGGGCCTTGCCACCGAGCTTTCAAATAAATCACACAGAGAATTATTATTACTCATAAATGCCTGGTCTTAGCTTGACTTGTTTCTAGCCAGCTTTTTCTAACTTAAATTATCCCATCTACCTTTTGCCTCTTGTCTTTTACCTTTCAATATTTCTGTATATCTTTTCCTTCCTTCTTATTTCATATCTTGTTATGTAGTTGGGTGGCTGGCCCCTGATGTCTTCCTCTTCTTTTCTCATTCTTTGACCTTCTCCTCCCAGATTTCTCCTTGTTTTTATTCTCTCTGCCTGCTAGCTTTGCCTATCCTTTCTCCTGCCTAGCTACTGGCCATTCAACTCTTGATTAGACCATTCAGGTGTTTTAGGCAGGCAAAGTAACACGGCTTCACAGAGTTAAACAAATGCAACATAAAGAGTGCAACACATCTTTGAGTCATTAAACAAATATTCCACAGCATAAACAACGTGACACATCTTTAACTAGTATTCTACAACAGCCTGGAGAGATGGTAGTAGTTTGGAGCACTTGCTGTTCTTGCAGAGGACGTAGGTTCGGTTCTTGACTCCCACATGGTGGCTCACAATTATCTGTAACTTCAGTTTCAAGGGTTCTGATGCCCTCTTCTGGCCTCCTGTGCCATGCACACATGGGGTACACAGGCATTCAAGCTGCAACACACCTATATACATAAAATTTAAACAAAATGAAACAAATACCCCCCCCCCCACACACACCAAAACTACCAGTGTGGGATTAGAGTTCAGATGATAAGAGTTCACATCTAGCATTCACGAGGCCTCAGGTTCCATCCCAGTACCACCTAAACTGGATGTGGTGCAACATTGTTTGCAATGTCAGAACATCCCCAGCATCCCCAGCATCCCTAAATGGGATGTGGTGCAACATTGTTTGCAGTGTCAGAATTTAGGCAGAGGAGCAGAAGTTCCAGGTTATGGGCGGGAGAGATGGCTCAGAGATTAAGAGTACTGACTGTCCTTCTGGAGGTTGTGAGTTCAAATCTCAGCAACCATGTGGTGGTTCACAACCATCTGTAATAAGATCTGGTGCCCTTTTCTGGCAGCAGGCAAAACACTGTATGCATAATACATCTTAAAAACAAAAAAAAAGATGGTCTAGGTTATTTTTGTTTACATAGTGAATTTAAGGCCATCTTGAAACGAGAAAGGGCACAAATAGCAACAAAAAGAACTAATGAAAATGGGGGAAATTTTTGGTAATTATTAGCTCTAGATAAAAACAAAAATGCCTGGCGGTGGTGGCGCACGCCTTTAATCCCAGCACTCGGGAGGCAGAGGCAGGCGGATCTCTGTGAGTTCGAGGCCAGCCTGGTCTACAAGAGCTAGTTCCAGGATAGGCACCAAAAGCTACAGAGAAACCCTGTCTTGAAAATCCAAAAAGAAAAAGAAAAAAAGAAAAGACCCAAAAGTTGTGGAGGAGATGAAAAATAAGCACATATATTGTGCTATGTGTTATTGCTTGGCACAGTAAAGTGTTTGTAATTCGTACAGGTTAGCTTTACTTTAAGTCAGTTTAGTATCTTTTCATTACATTGTGAGTGTCTCTGTGTGTGTGCATGTGCACACATGTCCAAGGTCAGAGGACAGCTTTAGCTGTTTCTTTTCCCTCTGCCAGTGGGTCCCTGGGTTCTTCAAGTTGTCAAGCAAGTGCCTTTTCACTGAGTCATCAGAGGGTGGCATATTTTTTCTATAATTGTGTGCTATTATTGTTCTTGGAGACTTTTTTTTTTAATAAATTAAAAAAGTATTTGTATATGAGTGCTCTGCATGTATGCCTGCAGGCCAGAAGAGGGCACCAGATCTCATTATAGATGATCAAGAACCACTATGTGGTTGCTAGGAATTGAACCCAGGTCCTCTGGAAGAGCAGCCAGTGCTCTTAACCCCTGAGTCATCTCTCTACCCCCACCCTCTTGTGTATCATTGGCTGTTCAGAACTAGTTTTGTAGATCGGGCTGGCCTTGAACTCACAGGGTTAGAACTCTACCTGCCTCTGCCTCCGGAGTGCTGGAATTAAAGTCGTGCACCACCACTGCCTGGCACAACTATGTATATTTGCTTTGGTATTAGGGGAGTGGGTCTCACCGTGTAGTCCGACCTGGCCACGAACTTGCTCTATACCTGAGGATGGTTGTGAACTGCTCATCCTCCTGCTTCCATTTCCCAAGTGTTAGATTACAGGCGCGAGCCATTATGCTCAACCAAGGCTTTTTGATTTAATGATGAGAGTAGTGGGACGCCAGAGATGCTATCAAGGGAGGGTGACGTGAGCTGTTTCAGGTTTTAAAATTATTATTCAAGTCATCTCGTCGGGAATGGATTGCCAGACCAAAAAGTCTACGAAGAGAGAGAATAGGAATTGCAGGCTAGGCTAAAGATGATGGTGGCCTGGCCTTGTTTGTGGTGCTATCCCTTGCTGGTGGAGAAATGCAGGTGTATTTGAAAGGCAGACCGAGGGACGCTGTGGCTGAATGGAAGTGTCAGGCAGAGCAGAGTTGAGGATTTTCCTAAGGATTTGGCTTCATCCCTGGGTGCACCCTGATTGGGAGCCACTCAATACTTATCTGAGACCCAGATCAGAGAATTGGCGAGAGAAAGAGCTTTCAGAAGGGGACGATGGAATAATCGCGTAGTGTGACCAAGACATCGAGCTCGGTTTCACAGAACGAGGTTACAGGGGACCTGCGGATGCAGTCTGGCGTCCTCGGTGGGTCAGAGTGGTGGCACGCGCGGAGAACCTGGCAAGCGCCACTGCACACCGGGTCCCGCCCCTCGCTGCGCTGTCCGCTTCCGAGCGCAATAAAGTTATTGAAATTGACGCGGTTGCTAAGGAAGTGGGTCGCCGAGCCGGGTTGCTAAGGAAGTGAGCGGTCGCGGTCTCTCCCCATCCGGGGCAGCGGGGAATGGCTGAGCCCGGGGTTCGCCGGCGCCGCCCGCTCTCGGCTGCGGCTGCAGGTGAGTTCGGGATGCGGGGTCCCCGCGGGGCGCCCAGCGTTGTCCTGGCGTCGCTGCTCCGCGAGCCGCAGTATCCTCTCTGCCCGGCACCTGGGTTATCTGACCGCCAGGTTCCTTCGCGGGCGCGGTCGGCACGACCCCCCATCTCGGCCGCCCCTGCTAAGTCCTCACTGCCGCTCTGCGGCCGTGGTCCCGGGTCCTGGCTGGGGAGGCAGCCCCGGAAGCAAGTACCTGAGGTCCGAACCTCGGAGCTGTGCCTGGCTGGCTGTGTGACCTTGGACAAACCCCTTGCCCTCTCTGGCAGCAGCAGATCTGTCTGTCCAGTGGGGTCCTGACACTTGCCGAGGAGACGTGTACATGAAAGGGTTCCAAGTGGGAAGAGGGAGAGTGGCCCGGGTACTCTATGTGGGGATCAAGAGTCCCGTTTGAAGTCTGTGTGCTTGAGTTTGAAGCTGCATCTCGTGGCATTGAGTCTTCTGCTCTTCTGTGAAGTGGGATAATGGACTGCTATGAGAAGCCAGTAGGACTGGCGTCTGGAGTAGCTCGGCACATGGGGCTTTTTTTTTTTTAATTAGCAGATGTTAATTACACATAATAACGGGTTTCATTATGACGTTTCATGTTTCATTCGTGTGTATGATGTATTTTGGTCATGTCCCTCTCCCACTGACCCCCTCCCTTCTTCCAGTCCCTTCTAATTCCATGCCCTAGGTCAGCTTGCAAGAACTTGGTGCTGGGTTCTTTGCAGGAACATGGACATTTTACCAATGGCTACACCTCAGAAGAAAATGCGTCCTACCCCCTCAATCACCTTTAATTCCATCTGAGGTGCCGGGGTGGGGGTGGGGCGCCGTGACACCTCAGAAATGGGCGGGGTCTTGTGAGCCCCTCCCCCTAGCTACCGTTAACTGCCTATAAATCCTTGTGTAGGTAGGGATAGGTACTTGTGAGCCCCCACTCTAGAAAACACCTGGTTAGTGCTTACCGCACTGTAGTGAGGTATTTGGGATGGGATGGAAGCCTTCCAGGAGGGGAAGATGACTTGAGACCAAAGGGCTTAGGTGTGTAGCTTGCCAGCTCACAGGTATTCCTTCTACCCTGGCTATTCCCCAGCCACAGTTTTACTTCTTGGTCTGCTCAGAGGAGGGGAGTTGTTGGTCTCTCAAGAGGTACTGATGGGAAGAAACCCAGAGATAAGATTCTGTAGATGACGGGGGTGGGGTTATGGTTTCGTTTTGTACTTGTGCCTTGTCCATCACCCGGTATAAGAAGAACAGGAGTATATTTATCTCTTCTGGGAAGTGCTTAGAGTAGTAGTGATCATTTATAGCTTGATGATAAGAAGTTTTTTGAGGTGTATTATCTCATTTAATCTTCACAGACTTTGTCAGGCAGCTGGTGATGTCACCCGTCTTGTAGATGAGAAACCTGTGCCTGAGAAAATTGAATTTGGCTTGCCTAAGAATCTGAGGTTTACAGTGTGATGGAGCTGGACTTGCATTTTATCCCCAGCTCCCCGATGCCTCTGCTTTCTCAACAGTAACTGCTAGAAGGCCACAAGGGTATTTTGAGTTGCTTCTAATTGCTTTGGCTAGAGGTTGTTCTCCCAGTGGCATGGGAACAAGATCTCAGAAAAAGCTTTGTTTGTTGAGTTTGCTACTAGCATATATTCATTTTATCTAATAAATTTCATTGACTTTTAAAAATACTTTTATTACTGTAGTTTGTGTGCGTGTGATGTGCATGTGTGTGCTTGATGCGCATGTGTGTGAGATGTTCATGTGTGTGTGATGTGCACGAGAGCGTGTGCATGATGTGTACGTGTGTGATGTGCGTGTGTGTGTGATGTGCATGTTGTGTTTTGTGTGTGTGTGATGTGCATGTTGTGTTTTGTGTGTGTGTGATGTGTGTGTGTGATGTGCATGTGTGTGATGTGCATGTTGTGTTTTGTGTGTGTGATGTGTGTGTGTGATGTGTGTGTGATGTGTGTGTGTGATGTGTGTGTGATGTGCATGTGTGTGATGTGTGTGTGATGTGCATGTGTGTGATGTGTGTGTGATGTTCATGTGTGTATGATGTGCATGTGTGTGATGTGCATGTTTGTGTTGTGTGTGTGTGATGTGCACGCGTGAGTGCCAGCCTATGCTATGGCATGTGAAGGTGAGAAGTCAACTGTGTGGAGCTGATTCCTTCCACCTTTATGTGTGTCCGGGGATGAGGCTCAGGTAAACTCAGGTTGTCAGGGCCTGTGTGGCAAGTGTGGGGCTGAGCCATCTCCCCAGCCCCACTGTGACTCTTTTATAAATGTATGTACTGTGTTTTGCTCACATTCATCCCCATTATCCTCCCATTCCTGCTGATCTCTCTCTTACCAAACAGTGTGTGTCCCCCCTCCCCCCGTCCACATTTCCCCACTCCTTTGGCAATTCAACCAGTTTAATTAGGATTGCTTATAGCACTGCAAGTGAGGGGTTTTCTATCTATTTATTTATTTTTGAGACAGGGTTTCTCTGAGTAGCCCTGTCAGAGAACTCACTCTGTAGGCCCTGCTGGCCTTGAACTCAGAGATCCGCCTACCTCTGCCTCCTAAGTGCTGGGATTAAATGCAGTTCCACCACCCCCTGCCAGTGAGGGGTTGTTTATAAGAGCACAGTCAGTTTATTAGTGTTTTGGTAACTGAAGGAAGTGCCTCTTCTTCAGCAACCATGGAGTGCCTATATAGATCTCAGGGAGGCGTGACTGAATATTGATGGGCTCAGTGTCAGGTATCTACACAGGTAAGCACAGCTGCTGAGAGTCCAGGGGCCACATCCATATCCTACCCAAAGACAGCATTCCATGCACTCCACCCCCGTTCCTCTGCCTCTTACATTCTTTCTATCCCCTCTTCTGTGATGTTCTCGGAATCGTGGAGGGGGTAAAATGTCCCCACTAGGCTGAGCCCGCAGTCCCTTACTTTCAGCACCTTGATCAGCTATGAGTCTCAATGACCACTGCCCACTGCAGAAGAAGCTTCTCTGAGCAAAACTGACTTCATCACTAATCTATAGGCATCAATCTAAATGTTTCAGATGTAGTTTGACAGATATATCATGTTCATTTAGTAATACAGCAGCAGTGGCTTCCCCACTAGGGCCTGTGTCCTCTCCAGCCATGGGCTTTTGGCCAGGTTGCAGCGCCAGATGGGAATTCCTTTCTGTGGAGAAGGCCTCAGATCCAAGCAGAAAGTTGTAGGTTACCCTGTAACAGCCAGGCCACTATTGCATGAGTGGGTGCATCTCCCTGGGCAGGTCATTATGGTCGGATGAAGCATGCACAGCCAAGTGACACTGCTGGTTACGTTTCCTCCCCAGCATGCTGCATAGCACCTTTCAGTCTTGCGAGGCACAGCCAGCACCAGGGAAGCTTCCAGCTGCTTCTCCAGCAATAACCTCTTACCCTCTCCTTCTGGTGGGCAACCAGCAGCAGTGGCATTAGCCTGTTTTGGGTCCTTCAAGGGCATCTCCAGTGATTTGAATGGGGACTGCTGAGACATCCAGTCCTGTGAACTGTTTCTTGGCCTCTACAGTGAGTGGCAGCCATTGTTGGACTATTGCATCATGTAAGCCAATCTATCAAATCCCCTTTTAATAAGTACATTCATTCTTAATTCTGTTCATTTAGCAAACCCAGACCAAAATAGCTCATGGTGAGGTAGTCTACCCTTGGCACTAAGGTTTACCTTTTATAATGTATGGCTTTTGGGGGGAAACGTATCATTGAAATAGATAGCATTTAAAGTATGAATCCCCCCCATCCCATGCTGGAATGTTTAAAAGTGGCATTCTCTATCTCTTGGCTCCTCTTTAGTGAGAAATTTTGGCTAGATGATTCTAAAGGCCCCATCAGTGCTGTTGTGGTTGAAGGTATACAGTTGGGCTGCTGGGTTAAAATTGTGGTCAGCTACACTCAGATTGTATGCCACCCAACAATAGCTTTACTATTTGTGCCACAGCTTCCTCAACCACAGAGCAGGTGATAACAGTGACATCTTATAGGGTTCTTAGGAAGATTGACTTGAGTCTGAGCCATGTGAACTGCCTGGCACATTTGATAAATGTTAGCTGTCATTATTTGGGTTTAACCTAGCACCTGTACTATATTTCATATTCCATTTGTGGTCGATGAATGAGTATGACGTGTGGTTAGAATCTTAGATCTGTCAATCTTACAAGATCATCATAAGCCTGAGACACTTGCCACTGTGGCATTATGTAAATGTGGATGTTATCACAGGCTTCCTCCAGGAGCCAGGACTTCCATGCTAGGATGGGCTGCAAAGAAAGGAGCAGTCTGGGGCGGGGTGTAGCTCAGTTGGTAGAATGCCTGCCTAGTATGCATGAACCCTGGATTTCACCTCTGGTGCCACATAGAGCTTGGCATGGTGGTGCACATCTGTAATCCCAGCACTCAAGTGCTGAAGGCAGAAGAATCAGAAGTTCAAGGCCACCTTGGCTATATATCAGGTTTGGACTCAATCTGAGATACGTGAGGCCTTGTTTTTGTTTGTTTGCTTTAAGGAGGTTTTGCTGTTTGACACCAAATTTAGTAAATGTTTATTACACCTCTCTATCCCAGGATGTACAGGATGTTGTACCTCCAACAGTCTTCAAGGAACCCCAAGCTAAATTTACAAGTACCTGTCATTTGACAGAACTTGATCTCCTCACCGTTTTGGCATTAGGGGTTTACCAAGGCCTCATGCCTGCTAGGCGAGCATTCTACTAACCAGCCCCATCTCCAGCCTCTTGTTTTTTTTGTTTTGCTTTTGTTTGTTTTGTTTTTGTTTATTTTTTTTTTTTTGAGACAGGGTTTCTCTGTAATTTTGAAGCCTATGCTGGTACTAGCTCTTTAGACCAGGCTGGTCTTGAACTCACAGAGATCCGCCTGCCTCTGCCGAGATTAAAGGCACGTGTCACCACCACCACCTGGCTCAGCCTCTTATTTTTTGTTTTTTGATA